TGAGCTTCCACAGTAGAGCATTAACACCCCTCATTCCCATCCCCTCCTTTTTTGCAGTTCTTTCATCTCATCACCAGCAAAGGCCTAGCAGCTGGAGAGCTGGTGACAGAAAGTTCCAGGAGATGGCAGCCGTGTGTAGTCTGTGAGGCAGAGCTGGCTCTCCCCCAGCCTGGAGATAAGCACCTCACCCAAAAAATTGCTGGCTACAACTAGCAGGGTTTCCCACCTCACCACCTATCCCCCTGGCTCCACAAGACCATCAAGAATCAGAGGCCATAGCTAACCCAAAACACCCAAAGAGAGACTCCAAGGTTGAGGTCTGAAATGGACATAAATAATATTAGTTAACTTTCAGAAAAGCAGGCAGGATGCAGGAGCTCTGGTATGTCAGGCCCACTGCCATCCTAGGAATCTCTAAAATCACTCCAGAGAGACCCAAAAAGGCAGCCCCATGTGACAGGAGTAATTTTAGCACCCCTCTGATTCATGAACCTTCCCAGCAAGCAAAGTTTTACCATTCTTGTTACAATGCACTCGCTGGCATTGAATCCCTGCCTCTGAAAACTATGAAAGGAAAATAAGAATTAACTAAGACCTCAGAGCACCTTCTATTAATGACAAGGATGTTCTGGCTTTCCAGAATCTCAGAAGCATATGCAATTTTTCTGTGGGTATAAGGTCCTGGACGCTGTTGGCACAGGGCTTCCAATGGTGAAAAGCTTATGGGGAAAGATGTCCTGGAATGGTTTTATGAAGGTAGACATGAAGGAAAGGGCTTTGGAAACTTTTCATTCCCAACTGTACAAAAAAAAAAATCATATGGGAAACGAACCTCCACGTTAAAAATAAGTTGTAGATTTAAAAATAAAACTGTTCCATGTTTCACAGAATCACAAAGTTCAAATTAGGAGGGACGTTAAAAATCAGATGGACACAACTGCCACCCAATACAGCAGTCTCTTCTGTAGAGTCACAAGCTTGTCTGTGCAGATGCTACCTGTCTACTTCCAGAGGCAGGGAGCTTACTACCTCCAGGAGCAGCTCTGCATTTCTGGACAGCTCTTTGTTTTGGATTATTTTTCCTTATGTTATGCCCAAGTGAAGTTTCCTAGAGATTCCAGGCAGCATTGAAAATGTGTCTTATGGAGCCACAATAAATGTCTGTTTCCTTTCCACTATGATCTCCTTCAAGTCTTTGAAGATGGTTGTAGCATATTCTGCCTACCCCATGCCTGCTCTTCTCCAGGCTGGATCTGTTGGTTTGTCAAACAACCTAATTTAATAAGCTCTTAGTTGCCTGGATCTTTTCCATTTAAGGACAGTTTTGGGCAGAGCTGTAGTGACTGCTGCTCTGCCTTCCCCGGCACATCTCTTCCTTGCCTTCGACTGAGACCCATGGTAGCAGTGTGGAAGGATAAGTACCTCTCTAACTAGCCACCCTTATCCTCAGCCTCCATCAGACAAATGGGGGTGGAGTTAGATTCCGGGATTAGACTAATTATCCTCAGAGAGGCAAAGGGGATGCTGCCAGATAGGAAGCTCCAAGAAGAAGAAAAATGTTCTGGTCTTATACACTTCTGTGTCTCCCGTGGCCAGTACATAGCAATGTTCATAATGATTTTCTGATGAATAACTGAATGAATGAATGAATGAATGAATGACGGAAAGAAAGTCAGGATAGAATACAAAGATATTTCTATATATTGAAAAGCATTTCCTCAAATGTGCTAACTCCCCCGCTCACATCCCAGAGTCTGTTCAAATGAACTCTGAGGTTCAGCTCTGCCTGCAGCTATACAAACCACCCCATTTCCATCCCTCATCACTCCATTAAATTACTATTGCTGCTTCTTTCTCCTCCTCCTCACACCCACACCGACCTCTTCCCTTTTCCTCCTACCCCATTCTCCCCCAATTCACAGACTGCATCTGTAAAAGTCCCAGGATATGCCTTTGGGACGCAAATTCCAAAGAAAGCCAAGTAAGAAAAAGAAAATGTGGTAGAAGATTTTTATTTTGGGGTATCAGTTGATATTTTTTGACTTTGGACTAATTTCTGGAGAACCCCAAGGAGTGCTTCAGCATGGTTGTTCCAGCTGCATGGACAGGAATCCCTGCCACGAAGGCATAAGGGGGGGTGGGATTCTGGCTGAGCTTAACCCACTTTCACAGAGCTGTCTAGTAATGAGGCCTGGCTCAAAGGCTTCGTGCTCCAGGGCCATATGTTGCTGTATAGCAGAAGATGCAATTGATCTGTAAGTGGGCAGTTTAATTTTTTATTTTTCCCCTCTAGAGTAAGACAAAAAAGGAACTCTGGCAACCAGTGCTATATAAACTCTGTAAGCTTCAGGACTTAGTCTATCTCACACATGGAAAATAACTCCCTTCTCCACCCCCACCTCTGGAGATAAAGGATAATAAAATATTAACAACTGGCTCTGCTATTCTGACAGATAGGGGATGACTTTCTTTAAAAGACCTTTGTGCTCTGTTGCTGCCAAAGATACTTAAACTGCAGTCATGAGTGGCTTCTCTGCTTAAAACCCCAGCCAAATCTGACTTCTCTGTGAGAGGGTCCATTAGTCACGTGCTTTTGATGGGCAGCAGCAGTCTGAACCTGGGTGCAGGAGGGAGAGATGATGCACTTGCTATGGGACCAGTAAGGAAATAAGCAATAGCCTCAGGTGTGCTTCTGGGAGGTATCTGGCACCCAGCAGGGTGAGGCAGAGACAAGGAATGGATGCCTCCCTCCCCCATGCAGCCAGAGAGAAAGCTGCTCTAGAGAACACTTCTCAGGAATGGAAAAGTGGCAGAAGTACATTTAGAAAGAAAGAGAGCACCAACTGGGACCTGAACTATTCAGAAGCCCCTTGGGAGACAGGATTCTGGAAGAGAAGATATGTTTTGCAACAGCTGAGTTCTCTTGGGTACTCTTTCAAATCTTATCGTTGGCCAGAAGTGCTAGGAATGGAGAAACCTAGAAGCCCACTGCCATAGTTTGGGTCTAGAATGTTCCCCGAAGTCTCATATGTTAAAGGCTCCATCTTCAGGCTGGCAATATTTGGAGCTGATAGAACTTCTAGAAGGTGGGGCCTGGTGGAAGGAAGTTAGGTCATTGGGGGTATGCCCTTGAAAGGGATAATGGGACCCCAGCCCCTTCCTCTCACACATTGCTTCCTAGATGCTGTGAAATGAACAGGCCTTCTCCACCACGCACTCCTGCCGTGTTGTACTGTGCTACCACAGGCCGAAAGCAACAGAGCCAAGCAAACATGCACTGAAACTATGAGACCAAATTAGCTTTTCCTCTTTGAACTGATTACTTGGGTATTTCGTCACAGTGACAGAAAACTGACTAAAACAACCATGGAAGGTGTTTGAGACTCAACAGTAGGCAAAGGGACTGAAAGAAGGGATAAAAGAAGGAATACAGGAGTATGTCAAATAGGAGAGAGAGAGAGAGAGAGAGAGAGAGAGAGAGAGAGAGAGAGAGAGAGGTGTTAAACAAGGAATGGGCTGTCTCAGTAAAGGGAGAGCATGGAAGCTGGAATGAGTCTGGAAGAAAGGAGCCAAGTGATTTGGGACACAGGACTGAGTTTTTTGAAAGACATTTACAAATCATCAGCTCTTCTTGAATCTGTCAAATTTAGACACTCATGGATATAATTTTGCCAAGTAAGCGAACCTTCTCCTTGCCTTTTTGGAAGGAGGGCTGTCTTAGTTGTCAGATTTTAAAAGTCAAATTCGTTGCCCAGGTATGTGGTACAAATCTGGTGTGTGAAACATCTCCGTCTGCTTATTTGAAAAGCTCCAATAATCTTTATCCCCAGGCAGCTTCCCCTACCCAGTATTGATGGTCTTTACCACCTCAAGCCCTTAAGAAGTGGTAGATACGAATCATGGATGAAGGATAACATACACCCTCAGAGTGGGAATGTAAGTTTTTCTGAACCCATTTAGTCTCAGGAAGAAAATAAGAAATGTCCCACAAAAAGTGAGAGGCCAGCTCTTAGAGAAGGGAAACAGAAAAGGAAGATCTGGGAAAGGCAGGGATTTAGAAGGAGGGTCCATACATACAGTAATCAGAAAGCTTAGTTAACCAGAAGATTTTTGCACTTGTCTCATTAATTTGATTTATTTGTGATCAGCTAATGTTTTTAGTTAGTAACACAAAAAACATGGTATAAATGTGTAAAGATCCCGGAGGGTATGCAGTAAGAAGTAAACCATTCTCCTAGCCTTGTCCTCTAGCTACTGCCCCCTCCTCTCACTCCAGGCCAGTGCTGACACAATTTGCTTGTGTCTAAAGGGAGAGGGTGTGGTTTTATGAGACTCTTGACAAGGGATCTTGGCTTATCCTAGAGATGGGGTTAGGAAGGCTCCACTGTGGAAGTGATATTTGAGCTGAGAGGTAAAGGACAATTAGGGCCTCATCACTAGTAGAGGAAGTCACATGTAAAAAGCCCTATGGTGAGTGTAGGCACAGCATTTTTAGGTAAATCAGCAGGAAGTCCCTTAGCATTTTTAGGTAAATTGGCAGTGAGGTTCAGAGTGGACCTCACTCTAGGAGGACAGGTAGGAGTATTGGGTGGAACTGGGTCACGGTCTCCTGGGCCATGTTAGTATTGTGCTCTTTATCAATAGAACTGGTTTATGTTCTGACAGTTGGGTGTGTATGTGTGTCTGGTCCTTGTTATATTTTAAAGAAGTAATTGCTATAGCTCCTATGTAGGTAAGAGCATGTTTTGGTCAGCTTTTTTGCTGCTGTTACTAAAAGGATCTGAACAGCACAATTATAGAGGAGGAAAAGTTTATTAGAGGGCTCACAGTTTCAGAGGTCTTAGTCTATAGAAGGCTGGCACCATCCCTGGGGGCTCAAGGTGAGGCAGAACATCATAGATGAAGAGTATGGCAGAGGGAAGCAGCTCAGATGGTAATCAGAAAGCAGAGAGAGAGAGAGATTTCATTCTCCAGGTACAAAATATATTTCCCATAATCATGGCCCCAATTAACCACTTCCTCCAGCCATACCCCACCTGCCTCCAGTTACTACACAGTTAATTCCATCAGGGATTAATTCATTGATTAGGTTTAGACTGTCACAATCCTATCATTTGTCCTCTGAACCTTCCATATTTTCTCACACGTGAGCTTTTGGGGGACATCTCACATTCAAACCACAACAGACAAAATCAAGTGCTAAGTACGATGAGAGTGGCATCGTTGGAAGACTGTATGGATGCTCGGCCCATGCTTGCTCAGCCTCACCTTTAAGTCCATCCTTAGCCAGACAATTCTACCTCACACCAACGGCCCCAACCTCGAATGCATCTTTCCACATGGCTGCCAATCATGCCAATGCCAGGGGAGCTCTGTTGGCCCATGCACAGGAGCAATCTGAGAGTTCAGGGGGACTTCATTCTTCCAGAAGCAACACTCAGCCAGAAGATAATGTGAGACAATTGGCAAAAACAGGGAGATGATGATGGTAAGTCTTTTATACACTCCTCAAAAGATCGTAGGTGGGTCCTAGGTGCCTAAAGCAGTGACTTTAGTCATATACCCTATACTGACCTTTCTTCTTCTCTCACTCTGTCTGTCCTTCAATTTTGATTCTGGGTTATTCCTTAGCAAGTTTTCAGCACAGAAGTCCTCACAGGCCCTGTTTTTTGTATGCATCCAAGGTGAAAAAGAGGCAAACATAATTATCTAGGTAAGAAATGATAGAGAATTAGACAAGGGCAGTCGCCATAGCAATGGCAGATTGGAAAGTTATTTTAGAAAGTTAAATAGTCTGCTGCAACCCAATTCTCCAACATCATTCTCTTTCTTTTTTTCATTTTATATGCAGTGCAACCCGGTGCAGGTTTACAGGGCATGGTGAAACCGGAATGGAGGAGGTACAGTCATGTGCTATAATCCTGTTTTACAGCTGTGCAAATGGCCACCATATATGAATGTAGAACTCAACAGCTAAGCTCACAGGAGATGAAGGTATTTCCAGACAATCCTAAATTTAGCTAAATTTAAAATGGGGCCTTTGGAAGATATTCCTGACATTAGTGTGCCCTTCAAGCAAGATCACATAACCAGGACAATTGTAGTAGAAATTAAAGTATCTGAAATAATAAGGGAGGAAAAGGTGTAATGGGGAATCTGTTCCACAGAGCCATGTGTATTTATGTCCCACATCAGTCTTGTCAAGTAGAAGTTGTACCTCTAACAGGCTTAGGGAGTCATCATAATCTTTTCAGGGTCACTTGAGTAGTAGGTAATAGAGAAAACATACTGGGTTAGTCAGCTCTTCATTGTTGTGACCAAAAGACCCAACAAGAACCATCTAAAGGAGGAAAAGTTTATTCTGAGTTCATGGTTTCAGAGGTTCAGTACATGGTCAGCTGACTCCCTAGCCCTGGGTCAGAGGTGAGATAGAAATCATGGCAGAAGGGCATAGAGAAAGAACGATGTTCAGTTCATGACAGTCAGAAAGCAGAGAGAGAGGGAGAGTTTGAATGCAAGGACCCATGGATAATATAATCCCCAATGACAAGTTCCCAGGGATATACTTCCTTCAGCCATGTCCTACCTGCCTACAGTTACCACCCAATAATCCATTCAAATTATTAAGCCATCAAATGGATTAATCCACTGATAAGGTACAGCTCTCATAATCTAATTAGTTCACCTGTGAACATTGCTGTGTTGTTTCACATATGAGCTTTTAGGGGACAACTCATATCCAAACCATAACACACTCATAGCTTGGTCCAAATGGCTCCAAAAGTCACACTTTTAATAATTATCTTTTAAAGATTGCTTCTTTCCCCCCATATCTTTATTGAGGTAAAATTGAAGTACAATAAAATGCACATGTTTGAAGTATGCAATTTGATCAGTTTGACATGTATGTAACCAATACAATCAATATAAAAAGAATTTACATTCCTTTTTTTTAAAATTTGAAATCATATATATTGTGTTTACTACATGATTTATTACATTAGAATTCAATCACCTTAAGATATATAGAACCCCACTCCCATTTGTCAACAATTTCAAAATTAAATGGTACACTTATAAATATCTCAGAGGTCAAGGAAGAAAAGCACAGGAAAAGTACATAAAAAGTGCTTTGAACTATATGATAATAAATGCTTAAAATATCAGGATCTCTGGGATGAAACAGTACTCAGATGAACATTTATAATTTAAAGTACTTGTATCAGAAAGAAGTTAAAATAACAATCAAATTATTTTCAAATTATGTAGAAGGAAGGAAAAAATAAGAGTAGGAGCAGAAATGTATGAAATTGAAGAGAAATAATACACCTAAAAATTGATAAAAAATAAATAACCCAATCAAAGAAAAAGCAAGAACACAAAAATTAATATAAATGGAAAGGAAGCTATCAAAATAACCCTACAGATGCTAAAGATATATTAAGGTAATGTTACAATTGTATGCCAACATATTTGATAGCTTACATAACAAGATCTATACTAGAGAAGGATCCATGTGCTGCTGAAAAGGAAGTGCATTCAGTCATTGATGGATTAAATAGTCTATATATGTCTGTTAAGTCTAAATTACCAATTGTATTTTTCACTTCTAAAGGTCCTTTATTTATTTTTTTGTTTGGAGAACCTATCCAGTGATGCCAAAGGCATGTTAAAATACCCAGTATTATTGTGTTTTGGTCTATTTAGATCTTGAAATTGAGAAGGGTTTATTTGATATATGTAGATGCCCCATTGTTTGGGGCATAAATATTTACAATTGTTATGTCTTGTATAATTTCCTTAAGCAGTATGATATGGCCTTCTTTGTCCCTTCTGATTAAATTTGGCTTAAAGTCCACTCTATCTGATATGAGTATAGAAACCCCTGCTTGTTTCTGTGATCCATTTGAGTAATGTCTTTTCTCATCCTTTCACCTTCAATCTGTGGATATTTTTGTCTATGAGGAGAATCTCTTGGAGCCAGCATATTATTAGGTATTGTTTTTTAATCCAGTCTTTCAGTTTATGTCTTTTGATTGATGAGGTTAGACCATTAATGTTCAAGGTTATTAGTGAGATATGATTTGTATTCCCAGTCATTTTGGCTTAATTCTAGTTTTTAATTTGAATTAGTTTCTCCTTTGACTATTCCTTTAGTGTAGTTCTTCCCTTTGCTGGTTTTCACTTTTTTTTCATTTCATCTTTTGTTGAGAATGTTCTATGGCGCAGGCTTTCTAGTTGCAAATTCTTTTAACTGTTGTTTATCATGCAAGGTTTTCATTTTATCTTCAAATGTGAAGCTTAATTTTGCTGGGTATAAAATTCTTGGTTGGCATCCATTTTATTTCAGAGGTTGGTATAGGTTATTCCAGGACCTCTTAACTTTGAGGGTCAGGGCTGAGAAATCAGCTGAGATCCAAATTGATTCCCCCCTATAGTAATTTGACATTTTTTTTTCTCACAGGCTTTAAAATTCTATATTTATTTTGTATGGTAGGCATTTTCATAATATTTTGCCTTGGTGTGGGTCTGTTGTAATTTTGTACATTTGTGATCCTGTAAGCCTCTTGTGTTTGATTTTCCATTTCATTCTTTAGGTTTGGGAAATTTTCTGATATTATTTCTTTGAAAAGATTGTGCACTCCTTCGGTTTGTATCTCCACACCTTCATCTATCCTGATAAATCTTAAATTTAGTCTTTTCATGTTAACCCATGGTTCTTGGAAGTTCTATTCATAGTTTCTTAACATCTTCTCTCTGTGGTCAACTCTATTTTCAAGATCACATATTTTGTCTTCATTGCCTGAGGTTCTTTCTTCCAAGTGGCTAGTCTGTTGGTGATGTTTTCTATTGAATTTTTTATTTGGTTTATTATTTCTGTCATTTTGAGGATTTCTGCTTAATTTTTTTTCAGAATCTCTGCCTCTTTATTGAAGTGATCTTTCTTTTCCTGCATTTTCTCACTTATTTCATTTCTTATTCCATCGTTTACTTTACAGATCAGTTTAACTATGCACATTATAAACTCCTTCTCTGCCATTTCTTCCACTGTGGTGTCGATGGATTCTGTATCGGAGCATCTTGGTTTGTTTGGGGCAATTTGTTCCTTTGCTTTTTCATGTTGCTTGTGTGTCTACCATTTAACAGTATGAATCTGAGGCAGTAGAATTTCTACCCTATGGACTTACTGTGTCCCTGAAAGTTTCCAGTACTTCACTGTTTAGGGGGAGACAAATAATAACAACAACCAATGCAAATAATATACATCATTAAACCAAATATTTCCAGCTATGACATCTACAATGTTAATTATCACAATACACAGAAATGATATGAAAAGTTATTGCCTACAATAAAAACAGAAAATTTGTAAAAGGATTTATAACTTCAAATGGTGGACAGGAGAGAAGACAAGTGATATAGGATGTGATGATTATGATCGAGGAAGAGAGAAGAAGTAAAAAGTTAAAGGAAAAGTGAAAGAGAACAATAGAGATTAGCTGTTAGCAGAAGAAAAGAGAATCAAGGTAAAAATGTACACATATAAGGTAAAAAATTTTAAAAATTAAAAATAAAAGTAAAAGAATACAAAACAAAACTAGAATATACTAATAAAACACCCTAGTTCACAATAAACTAATCCATGAAAAATAACTGGTTTCAAAAACACTAGAAATGAGGAAAAATGAATATATATATAAATGTCAATGTACCACTAAGGTCACAATTAAACAGAAAAAAATAATAATAAAAGATCTTGATGAAAAGTTAAAGAATTCTTTCCACTGGAGTTCAAAAGATTCTGTTTCTCTTCTCAGCAGTTTTTTTTTTTTTGGGGCGGGGGGATAGATAAGTTAGTGGCACTCAACCACTGAGACACATCCCCAGCCCAATTATGTATTTTATTTAGAGACGAGGTTTCACTGATTTGCTTAGAACCCGGCTTTTGCTGAAGCTTGCTCTGAACTTGCAATCCTCCTGTCTCAGCCTCCTGAGCTGATGGAATTACAGGAACATGCCACCACACCTGGCTATGTCAGCAATTTTAGGTGGGGTCATCTGGAGCATGATGCTCCACCCTCTTGACTGCAGGAGTGAGAAAGGTAATCTCATAATTTCTGGAGGTAGGGTTTAGACTTAGATGGGCTCCAGGATGTTTGCTGAAGGTCAGTTGATCTGGAGATTTTAAATCAGTGCACCTCCAGTGCCCAGTACTTGCTGGTCCAGGCTGGAAGACTGTACCACTCCTCCCCTGGGTTCCACTTCTGTGGTGGGGGACCCAATTCTTAGTCCCCTATGTCACTTTCAGACCCCACATTTCCTGGTCTTGGGTTCAGTCTCCAAACAATCTCTCCTGGCTCTACTCTTCTGAGTTCTTAGCCAGATGCATGTCTTCCAGCAGGTCCTGCCAGCAGTCGAATTGGAGGGGTAGGGGTAGAGCCAGGTGGGTTTCCATGACCAGTTATCTCCTATGTAAACCTCTCTTCATGTTTGATTTTCTCCTGATCACTTAAGCATACTCAATGTCGTGCCGTGTGTGTTTACTGAGCTTGTATTTTGGGCCAAGAATTGGCCCCCTCAGCTGCCAGCACCCACACATTGGCTGCAAAATTGTTCCTTCCTTTGTCCTTTGCAAGCCACCTGGAGAGACAGTGGCTTCTTTCCCCACACACGGATATTGTGCAGCACATCTTTCAGGTTTGCCAGGCAATGTCCTTGATCTCTAAATCCTCTGTACCCATACATGCCTGGGACCTCCCAAAAATGTTAGTTCCTTTAATTCCCTTATCCCTCCATTATGCTCACAGAGGGACTGCTCTAGCTGGTGACTTCAGCCTGGCCATGGTAGTGGCTGTGCCGCTGGGGATTTCTTCCTTATTTTATTATATCCAACCTCCTGAGTCCCCTACCTGCTTTGAATGTCCAGTTTTAAAATCCCCCCTGCTTTTTAAAAATTTTTTTGGTCACTCATCTTGCTGAGAAGCTGTAAAGGCTCTTTTTAAACTTCCTTCTATTACAAAGTGGGAGAAAAACCCTGAGATAATCTGTCCATTTCTCTTTATACTAGATTATTAGATGAATTGGTTGCCAATTAGATTCTGTTGCTCAGTAGATAAGGCACAAGATGGCAGTTAGTGGAAGTAGAGAAGAAGAGGACCATGAACAAGGCCTCAGGCTGCAGGTGGAATGAAAGCAGCACAGAGTACCTCTCATGTATTTATACTTAACAATTTACATCAATCATGTAATTGCTAATCAGAATCTTCTTCCACCATATGAATATGCCTAGACACACGGAGAGAGGTCACATCTGTCACAGTCATCTAGGACAAGTGAGTGAGACCATTATGATTGCATGATGTAGGTTGCACTATTATAGACTTTTTAAAATAGATGAGGCAAAACAAAATGGTTTCATAATTTTCCCAGGTAGGCACAGTTCATAAGTAGCAGAACTGTAGTTCCCTGGTGGGATTCAGTTAGATGCTGCACATGAAGAGACTGGGAGAAATACAAAAATGAACCAAGCACGAATTCAGCCCTCAAGTAATTCATTCTCTTTTAGATATTAAATATTTCTACTAATGATAATGAGAAAATAGAAAGTGACTCATGATTAGTAAAAGGCGCTGAAAAGGTACTATGGGGTTTCAAAAAGGAAAGAGATGGCACTGTGGAGAGATGGTGCATCGGTTTGTTTTTGCTGCATTAAAAAACTCTCAAACACTTAAAAAAAAAAAACACCCAAATAACCCAATCAATAAATGGGCTAAGGAACTGAACAGACTTCTTAGAAGAAGAAATGCAATTGATCAACATATATATGAAAAAGTGTTCAAAAAGTTTCAAAAAATGTTACCAAAAGTTGACATCAGCTTGTCTAGGCTTAGCCCTTCCAAGAAAGCCTGTTCCACCTGCAGGCCTGGCTACTATGCCGTGTGTTCCCCTAGTGTCTACAGTATGCCCACCATTAACTTGACAGAGTGGCATGAAAAGAATCTATACTAGTCAGTCTATACACTGCCATTTCCTGAGGCCGGTCCGGAGGTGAGCTGAGAGAGTGGTAAGTCGGGGGTGCAGAATCAGGTATACTGAGCCATGGATGAGCGAGGCAAAGGTGATGGGTGCATGAGATTCAGTCATAGCAAAAGCATCTAAAGCCATGTTCAAATTGGCCATGTGGGAGCTGAGGGTGGGGACACCATCTGAAAGAGTGATTGAAGGAAGATAGATAGATAGATAGAGAGAGAGAGAGAGAGAGAGAGAGAGAGAGAGAGAGAGGTGTCCCTGGAGCAGCCTTGAGTCCTTATCATTTTTGCATTCACATAGAGGTTTCCAGGTAATTCTTTCCCTCCTCAGATTTTGATGGATCTATACCTACATGAGTGATTCTCTTCCTTATATCCCTGGCTAGAACATTTGTTGTAACAAAATTTTGAAAAGAAATACAGTGACCAGAGACAAAAGTATATTTTCGCCAGACTACAAAGTGTGGAGGACCCCCAAATGAGGTTAGTATCCATCAGAGGGGTTATTTCTAAGATTGGCTATTCTTTCTGTATCTCTCCCAGCAATTAGACATACTGTAAAGTGAAAATTGAAGCCATCCTATTTTCAAACAAATCCAATGATTTAGTGATGTCTTGATGGCTCAAAAAATGTTACTTTGAGGCCTATTTATTTCTTTGGTTACAATCTCTTTCAAATATTTTATCAGTTCTCACTCTGATTATTAAAGGAGCAAAAAACCATTCTACTCTACAGTATTTATTTTGGGAGCATTTACCTAGTAAATCTCCTTAGTGGCATAAGAAAATATATTTCCCTGGAAACCAGAAGTCACACAAAAGTCCTAGCCCTCCAGAGCACCAGGGGATTAAAAAAAAATCCTCATTATTAAAATCCGATTATTCTACTTTTATGTCACCTCCTTTGCTATAAATGAGGGCTAGTTCAGCCGCCAGAACACAGAATGACACAGATACAATGTGATGTGTCAACCACTCATGTTTCCCTTTTATGAGATCAACTTTTATAACTTTGCAGTCAACTTACCAACAGACTATAAAACTAGGCTTATTGGAAACAGATACATCAACCCTGAGGCACCACTTGTCAAAATCTGATTCCAATCTCTCCTGGAATTAGAGAAGAATCAGAGAGTTCATCCTGAGAGAGAAATCCAATGGTAATAGCAGCCTGAGTTTCACCCAACAGTGTTGACACCTGTACTGGGTCACCCTGGGCAATGCTCCTTGTGAGAAATACCCACTTTGGGTCTAATCATAATTCGTATGATATTTATGAGTTTTGTACCATGGCCTGACTGCTTATTCTAGCAAAATAAGACTCCAGAATGCAGCCAAATATGACCTTCAAAAATATTGTCTAGTCTATTTGTGGCCACAGATATGTTCCTTCTTTTGTGATTCCTGAATGCATGGTGGAGAATGGGGCCAGCTTCAACTTCAAAGGAAGTATTCAAAGCAGATGCCTCTTTGGATCTGAACGGCAGAGGGGGGAGGCTTGCATGCCTGTTTTCATGCGCATTCTATTTTACCCTATCTAGTCTATCTCATCTTTGCTGCATGCTCAGAAGCTGCTGTCCCTGCATTGCTCTCCTGTGGTACAAGTGGATCTTTGAGACCCATTGATGGAAAGAGCTGGGGAGCCTCCCTATTGCAATAGCTTTGTTCCCTTTATGGGTGTGCCCTGGTTTGTGCAAGAGTTTCATCAATATCTGGGCATTCAGCTACAGATGAGAAGCAACTCTGCAGTTTCATGATGCAGGCACTGCTAGAAAACATGTCTCCATGGCAACCCGGGCTTACCTCATCCACAGGATTCAGATGTTACTGACCACAGAAGCAATTTTTTTCCTCAAATGTAAAACAAGCATTAGCTATGTCTATAGAGCCCAAAGAGGCTTGCTTGCTTGTTCTATCCGTCTGCTCAGAGCTGGGACAAACGTCATATGTTTGGGGAGCATTTTGTTTATAGACAACAATTCCCACTATGACACTGCCTTAGCGCACAGAGATTTCTTTGCCACAAAAATAAGAAGGGTTCTTGCAGGGAAGAAGTGTCATTATTCATCTCTGTTCTAGTCTCTCCTGTTGTCAAAGAGTTGTTTTAATGTTTTTAATCCAGAATTCATATTTTCTCAGCCTCAGCAGGATCTGGCTCACTCACACTGGATTAGGGCTATTCATGGGAAACCCAGGTGCTTGGGATGGGAGTAGAATTGACTGATGCCTAAATGACCTTTCACCTCTTCCTTCCAGACTGGAATGGTTAACTCAAGGCAGCATGTGGTTAACACTTACCCACCCCTATTAGCATGCTGGTGATTAGCATATCCAGTAGTCTCTGCAACTCCCCAAAGACCTAAAGGAATTGTTAGAAAATAAATTGTGGATGTATAACCGACATGATTCTGCAATCTGCATTTGGGGTAAAATTGGGAGTTCATAACCCACTTCAATCTAATGTATGAAATATGATACGTCAAGAGCTTTGTAATGTTGTGAACAACCAATAAAATAAATAAATAAATAAATAAATAAAAACCTAATCAGTCTTGGGCAATTTGATAGTGTAATTTATCCTAGAAGGAAACTATATGATTTTTATGATGAATAAAATATTATGAGGATATCTCTAAAAAAAAAAAAAAAGAAAATATTGGAGAAAAAGAGATGTCATTCCTCTACATCAGTAGTTCTCAACATAGGAAGAAGGAGGGGATTTGTCCCTAAGGGTGCATTTGACAATGTCTGGATACCATATCTTGTTGCCACAACTGGGAGACAAGTAGTAAGTGGCATTTGATGGGCACAGGCCATAATACTGCTTAGTTAGAATCCTATAAATATGTCTAATAGTGTACAGGACTATCCTTATGACCCTACCCCAACAATAAATGATCCACTTCAAAATTTACTAATGTGAGGATGACGTTGAGAAGCCTTGTTTTGCATGGTCATATTGGAAATCCCGTAAGGTGCAGTTAGTTACACAGCGGATCTGATCTCTATTATCATCAATGGAAGGGCAAGCAATGGGTTATTTATTCATCATGTGAATAAATGCCTGTAAGTATACTCACCAGGGAACTCCAGTACATAGAAGTGCTTTCTTGTGACAGGGAGAGTTTTCAGTGTATGCTAATCCCTCCTGGAAAGACTTTCTGTCTCTGAGTTATGATCTCGGCCTACATTGTCTCACACTGCCTCTCTGTTATTAAAATTCCTTTCTGCACAATTCATGCGAACATAAATCCTTCCTTTAAAGTCTAACCAGTAAGACTTCCAGAAAATTAGATTCTTCATTTTAAAAAATGTCATTTGAAACAATATGCTTGATTCCATCTCTTTCTCTCTCTCTCTCTCTCTCTCTCTCTTCCTCCCCCATCAATCTTAGGACTGGGAAATGTATAGAATGACTTCAGGATCTCACCTCATGGCCCCATCTGTAGTCTACTGTTTATGCCTAATTGGCATTTCTTTGTTAACACTAGTCTTCTAGTCATGTGATCTAGAATGATTTCTTAAAATGTGATTCGTATGTGGTAATGAATGTGGCCAAAAGTTTTGTTTGTTTGTTTTCCTTACTGATGGAAAGAAGAAGAGGAATCATGAGGGAACACATGCTCCAGCATCCATTGTTACGGGAGCCAGCAACACATCACACCAGGCAATTTCTCTGGCCACATCACTCCAATTCCCGGAAGAGGAAAGGTGATTGCAAGAAGCTGCAGTATCAGATCACCAACTCACAGGTAGGATTTAAAGAAGAAACTCAGATTAGGGGGCTCTGAATTGCAAGTATGCTTCACAACCAAATTGCCTCTGTATACAGAGAGAACCAAGGCAGCAGAAGAAGGTCTCTGGGAATCTGCACAATCCTCTAGCATCCAGCATTTCCATGCAGGGAAGGAGCAACACACCAAATCAGGAACTGGAAGAATAACCAATTGATGTTTGTGGTACAGGCTAAGCCTGACAGGTTCCTCCACAAGTTCTTATTTTCCAGGAAAGAACTTGATTGGTTTATTTCATCACTTCTTTGTTGCTCCTGTTGAACAGAATTTGTTTCTGGATCCAACTGTAACCTAGAGAGCAGGTTTGGCCCCACTCAACTCCCCTCCTCCAGTAGCCAGTTTCTACAAAAATGATATGCCTGCAGCACTTTCCAATGGGGTTAGCCAAGAGTGGAATAGGCCCTGGTTGCTTCAAGGATTCTCTCTCCAGTGCAGGGTCCAGTTTAAGGTTTCACCACTCAAGCCCCTCACTCCTAACTTGAACTGTTGTTACCCTCATACAACACTCTGCAGCCTGAGGCTGGAAGAATAGACCCATTTGTAATAAAAGGAGAACCCTCTTGCATTTTCTTGCAGAGCCTGTCAGCAACTTAGCTACACAAAGCTCTAGAGGCATTGAGCTGGCCCCTTCTGTTAAGGAGAGTCAGCAAAACCATACAGATGTTTTTCTGAGAGCTGTTCTGATCAGGGCTAAGGGACTTAGATCTGCCTGGTATCACATAGCATGGGAAGGTAGGAAATTCTCTTTGGGGATCAGGAAGTATATTACATGAAATAAAGATGTAAGTGTGTTCTTTTTGGACTAGGCTATGTTTTTCCCTTCTATTTTTCTTTATATAACCTTATCACTTAGTGGCCTTTATTTCTTTCCTCTATGTCTTCCTTGGCTCCCAACCCTGCTCTGGTTTTGCAGGACAAATTCAGCTCATTGGGAAGCTCTGAATTAAATAATTTCTAACTTCTCTCCACTCCAACCTCATTTGATAAGTCTTATCAAGGGCTTTATGACCTCATTTTCTTATCCAATACAGAAATGTCCTACTTGACATAGATTTTCAGATCTTGAGAGACCTGACTTACAATCCAAAAGGCCAGAGAATAGGGTGCTGTATTAGAGTTTTTCAGAGTGACAGAACCAATAGATGGATGGATAAATGGATAGATGATTAATAGATAGATAGATAGATAATAGATAGATAGTCAGACAGACTCTCAAAGGCTCATTGTGTTGAAGGCTTTGTCCCCAGCTAGTGATACTATTGGGAGGTGGAGGAAGCTTTAAAGGTGGGATCTACTTAGAGGAAGTAAATCACTGGTGGCATGCCTCTGAAGGATATATCTTATTTCCATTCCTTTCTCCTGTTCTCTTTCTCTCTTTGTTTCTGGCTACCTTGAAGTGAATAACTTTGCTCCACCATGCTCTCTCTACCAAGATGCCTCTCCACCTCAGGCCCAGAAACAGCAAAAAGACCATGGACTGAAGCCTCTAAAACCATAAGCCAAAATAAATCTTTCCTCCTTTAAGTTGCTTTTTCTAAGGTATTTTGTCACAACAATGGAAATCTGACAAACATAGACAATAGATAGATTATAGATGATAGATAAGTAATACATAGTGTTTTAGTCAGCTTTTTTTTTTGCTATTGTGACTAAAGGACCAGACCAGAACAATTATAGAGAAGAAAAAGTTTATTTGAGGGCTCACAATTTCAGAGGTTTCAGTCCATAGAAGTCTGGCTCCATTCTTCAGGGCTTGATTTGAGACGGAACATTATGGTAGGAGAACGTGGCAGAGGAAAGCAGCTTACATCATGGTGATCAGGAAGCAGAGAGAGACTCCACACCCAAATACAAATATATACCCAAAACCATGTCCCAATTCCCACCTCCTCCAGCCACACCATACCACTTCAGTTATGATTCAATTAATCCCTTTCAGGGGATTAAATCATTGATTGGGTTAAGCTTCTTAAAACCCAATCATTTCTCCACTGAACCTTCTTGCATTGTCTCACACGTGAGATTTTGGGAGACACCTCAAATCCAAACCATAACAGATAGATTAATAGAGAGATAGGGACTTATTAGGGGAATTGGCCTAAATGGTTATGGAGAATAAGAAGCCCCACAATACACCATCTGCAAACTGAAGAACTAGAGAAACCAGTAGACTGTCTGAGATCAGGTCTAGAACCCAGACAAGTAGATGGTGTAGCTCTTAGTCCAGGTCAAAGACTTGAGAACACACAGAACTGCTCATGCAAGTCCTGGAATCTGAAGGCCAACAATTCTAGAGTTCTCATGTCCAAGGGCAAGAAAATAAGGATGTCTCAACTCCAGAATAAAGAGAGAAAAAGCAAGCTTGCCTTCCCTCCACCTAAAAAGGAATAAATGTTTTAGCCAGGCCTGCAACTGACTGATGGTACGTGACCACACTGGTAAGAGAGAACTGCCCTATCAGAGCACTGATTCAAATGCCCGTCTGTTTTGGAATCACCCTCACAGATATACCTAGAAATAATGCTTTACCTGCTATCTGAGTACCCCTTAATACAGCTAAGTTGACAACTACAATTAACCATCATAAGCACACAGTACATAGGCCCAGGGCACAACTTTCTTTAATGCCCCAATCCCTGCTACCATGATGGCTACCATTGGCCTCCTTCTCACTCTGCCCACCCAGTCTCAACTGACCTCCTAAGTTTCTGTTGGGGAGAGGTTTAGAGGGGGTAGTGTGGGATAAGGAAAGGGCAGGAAGAACTAGAAACCTAGAAAGGAAAGACAAGGAAAGACAAAGCACATCCTCTTCCCAATTTGATCGAGCCCTCTCTGCTGGACCTTGTTTCCTTACTGACTTTCCCCTGGCTTATCTCCTGGGTCAGCCTCCCCGGGCTCGTGTTCACCCAGCCAGCAGGTGAACACAGCTCTCCCCATCCCTACTTCCAACTCACTCACTAGTTTCAGACCAAATGGCTCTATCCTGAAACTGAGAAACGAGCCTGTGTCCCTGTATATTAGGGTTCAACTTCTTCATTAAGTCCAACTTCTTCATTTTTTCAGGAAATCTTGAAAAAAGCATAAATGAAGGAGAAGAAGGCAAGGAAGAGACAAGACCCAGGATGAGGAAATGGAAAGCAGTATAACAATCTGTTGGCATTAGAATTGGTTATACGGTGCTAGCCAGATCAAATTATGATACCACGTGTTTTTACATGGTAACAGTCCTGTGCCTGTTTTCCATTCATTCCTCCAAGTCCAAGAATTACCTTCTTCACAGGGCCGACCCCTGCAGGCTGCAGTTCTCATACTCACTTGGCAGCTGAGTTCTGGCTGGGTCAGCCCTGGGAACAATGGCAGGAGACAGGAGGGCACACAGGAGCAGAGGAAGAGGTGGGGTCTCTCTCCTCCCCCTCTGCCTTGGGTGGCATCTGTAATAGAGACCAGGTTTCCTCCCTGCCTCCAGTCCTGCAGTAGTTCCAGCTTTCATCAGGAGACTGTGAAATATAGGAATGCCACCTCTTCTCTTCATGCCTTCTGCCCCGGAGCTGAGAGTGGTTTCCAGCATCTGTTAATCTCTGGGTTACCACATTACCATGAATCCGGCTTTTCAGTTCCACCAGTATTAGATTCCTTCTATTTAAAATACCTGTGGCTGATTCCATCTGACACCTTACATAATTTGTCCATTGTATTACTTGATATTGGCATGTGAGCATGTGTGCACAAATATATATACACACACACACACACAACACACACACACACACACACACACACACACACACACACACACA